TTCTCCTAACACTTAGATGGAGCAAGTGGTCTAATTACTGGCTCATCCCTGGTAAATAATCACATCAATTCTGTTAGGTTTCTTGGAGGGGGAGGAGCAAAACAATAAATTCTTATTTCTTCACAGTTAAATACAAGCAACTACCTTGACATTTTAGAACATTCTAAGGATGACAAAACCTTTCAATTCCAGTTCCCACTCACTAACATTGTACCATAATTCTGTCAGTTTGATTCCTACTTGGAATCAAAAATAACATTTTTGTCAGGCAAAATTCCAGCACTTGGGAAGCTGAGGGAGGAAAATTGTAAGTTCAAGACCAATCTGGGCTACAGATTTAAAAATAACATCTTTATAGAATTTTATAATATATACTTTTTAAAAGCTGGAAATTTGCAAATATACACAAAATAGAGTGAAAAGTATAGTAATATACCATATACTCATTATGCAAACTTTCTCTGTCTTTCCATTTTATTTTTTTGGTGGTGCTGGGATCAAATCCAGGTCCTTACACATGTTAACCAGGTGCTCTACCACTAAACTACAAACCCAGTCCCCTCCTTTCTTTTTCCAGTGCTAAGTATTGAACCCAGAACCTTATGCATGGCAGGAAATTGTTCTATCACTTAGAACATGTTACACCCCTAGCCTTTTCTTACAAGTTTTGTTTTGTTTTTTTTTGCTACCAGGAATTGAACTCAGGACCTTGCACTTGCCAGGCAGGCACTCATGCTGCTGAGCTATATCCCCGGCCCTATTCATCCTTTTTTTAAATACTATTTTTTGTTGATGAAGTTGTCCTACAGAATTTGTTATATCCTGGGTTTGGCTAATTGTATTCCCTTGATGTCTTGTAATATCTTCATCTATCCACTATATTTCTTCTAGCTGGTAGTTCAAATATAGAGGATTGATTAAAGTTTTAAAAGATGTTTTATATGAATACCTCACAGTATTATAGCATACAAATTATGATCAAATTATATGGTGAGTGCTTAAATTAAAAAAAAAATTATTATAGCATCCTGGGATGGTGGTGTTTGCCTATAATCCCAGTACTCAGGAGGCTGAGGCAGGAGAACTGCCATGAGTTTGGGCCAGCCTGGTGTATGCAGTGAGTTCAAGGCCAGCCTGAACTACATAGTGAGATCCTATCTCAAAACACCACCACCAAAAACAAAACAAAAAAACCCACAAAAATTTATTACAGTAAAAATCACATTGTCCTTAATCCTCTTCAAACTATTCCCCCTCATTTCAAACATACCTATTCCATCATTGTCGAAACTTTCTAAAGCAGTTCTAGAAGTCCTCTGTCATGAGGTGTGATTAAAAAAATAACATGGTGACTACAGGTGCTGACAACTGAAGGGCAGGCCCATAAAAACAGTATGTGTCCTCACCCACCGTATCTGGGATTATGCAACTTTTAGTTCTTCCTCAAAGTCAAACTGACCATGAAAGGTAAATTTTGAACTGACTGAGGACATTGAGGGTGCCAAGACTGTGCATCTAAAGACTCTCACAAAAGAGGACTTCCAGACCTGCTTCATGAAGTGGAAAGCACAATGAGGTAAGCGTTTTTGAAGCAAGAGGCATTATTTTGAGGGAGAGAAATGGTAAATCTTTCACTACAATAAATTTTTAAAAACCTTTAAATATTAACTGTTTTATTATACCTTGTATTGCGATATATAACATCTGATTGTCCCACTTTGATGATATTGAGATTGATCAGTGGGTTTAGGTTTTGTCAGTACAAGTCATCCATTACAGAATTGCCCACCAACCTTTCACCTCATTAGTTTAGCAAACATAGACAGTCATTACCAAGTGTAATCATGTCAGTTAGAGATGAAAAAAATTATTTTTATTTTGTCATTTATTTTTATTTAAGACTCTTTATCTACTAGCCCACTGCTTGTTTTGAAATTCTGTACATCTTAAGGACACAAATCAAATTCACATTCTTTTGTAGAGCCTTCCCTAGTTGCTAAACGGCAGAACATAACTCATTGGGTAGGTACCCATCACATACTACTCTGCAGCATAATTTTATCTTCCAGCCTGTAAGCTCCAAGGGGTCTCAACTATGTCCTAGGCTTCTTTGTGTCATCCTAATGTCCAGCACAGTGGCCTGAATATAGTAGGTATATAATGCATGTGTAAAATTCTTTGGTTAGGTGAGTATTCAGATGAAAAACTCCCTACTCATGTAAACACAAGTGACAAAATTCCAAAATAAAACACACATACATACAAACATATATACAATGCCACAAATTTATTATAATATACAGAGAACAAACCCAAACTTTGACAATTTCCATACAATTATCCAGTTTTTAAAATGTTAACTGAAATAAGGTATAACTGGGGGGAATATAATCTCATAATTTTGTAATTATGAAATAATGTAGTATACTCAAGAATTCTACTTAAATAATTAAGGCTATAAAATGACAGCCTCTATTAGATATTTAAAAATTTGCATTGGCATTTATTTACAATAGAGACATAGGTCTTCAAGGATTCATAGAGCTTTATGTAATAAACTAGATTTCATAGCTTGCTTTTTTGTTAAGTAAGCAAACCCAAAGTCAATGAAGTCCTGAAAAGTGGGATGGAATACCACAAGAAATCCTATTTGAGCACCCAGAATCCTTTGACTAAAATATTACCGACACCAATTCTGTATCCAGTGATATTCATTTTGATCCACTGATATTTATGTGGAAAGTACCTCTGTCATTTGTGGTCTGTTTTCACATGAATACTTCTCCACTTTTATTCATAGACCCGAGAATGTGGTTTTGTCACATGAGCTATTAGTTCATAGGCAAGTCAAACCTCTCCCTCCTTCTGTCTCTCTCCTGCTTTCTTCCCTCCTCCCTCCTTTCTTTACAGGGCTAGGAATATAACACATGGCCTCCCTCATAATAGGCAAGTATTCTACCACTGAGCCATATCCCAGGGCACAAGCCAAATGGGGAGGTTAGGGAAGGTTATACAATTTGAGTCGGAAAAAAATAAACTTTCCTGTTTTATCTCTTCCTTTTGTTTCCATTTGGCCTTCATCCTACAAAGGTCTTTGGAAACTGTACCTGTGTATAACAGCACCCACCACACCTCACTTTAGCACAGGCTGGGCATGAGGAGCTAAAACAGGAAAACTGAAGAAACCCTGAGACCTTCACAGTGAAATAAATAAAGCAGCTATGTCTTTTAGTTGTTCTCCTGTTCTTTATTTTTTAAAAATAAAAAATTCCCCCATTTTTAACCCTCAACTGTTCATAATGTAAGCAATGAAATCACTAAAGGTCACTTACTGGCCTTACAAATCTGGTAAGTGTAAAGACACAAAGCTATGCTACATAAAAATGGAGTAGGAGGAAGACAGAACCAGAGAACATAAAATTAGTGAAAAATGCAGCCTTTTTGTACAAGCATTATTGTGCATTACACAATAACCTGGGCCATAAGTACCAGTTGTTTAAAGTCCTTCATACATAAGCAGCCCTTCAAAATTGAGTACAAACATGACAAGAGAAAAAGCAATAGGGAATGACCCACAAATGTTCAGATGTTGCTATTTTTTGGACAAAACTCTATGGATAGGTAGTTTTGGTTCTCCAATAAGAAAACACAAGAACAAGATAAATCTAGAAAGTAGCAACTTTAGAGGAAAATATGAAAACCTATGCCTAGTGAATTTTAGCCATTCATTATATGGTGTTACTTTTTTTTTTTTTTTGGTTTTTCTCCGGTACCGGGAACCGAACTCATGACCTTGCGCTTGCCAGGCAGACGCTTTGCCGCTGAGCTAAATCCCCAGCCCCTATTATATGGTTTATACATCTGGAAAAAGAAATCCAGACCAATACATAATTCTGGAAAATACTTTCTCATGCAGTGTATTTATAACACTAGATATTTATGACACTATAATGTAGTCTGTCAGTTTCTCAAAGTAGAAGAGCCCTTACTTACAGAGCAGATATTCCCCTAGATACTCTATGCTACCACCTGCCTCAGCTGCATGATAAGCTACTCAAACCCTGTCTGGAAACTATGCGTAAAGAGTGGCCTAAAATTATTTGTGATTTAAAAGTTCCTATGGTATGCTCATCATATGATTATTCAAGTATGTAGCCAATATATATTTAAAGGAGATAACCCTCTAAACTATGATATCAGAAAGTGACATAATACAACAAACCAGATTTTTTCCCACTAACCTACCACAGTATTTGTTTCATTGACACATTCACTTCTTTCCAGAAATATAAAACATTAACTGTGAAACTGTAATAGCCCGTCAAAAGAAATTGCCTTGTTTCCAAAATAATGTGAACTTCACCTTAATGCCAGGTGTATCAGTACAGTAAGAGAAAGCACTGCTACCTTGAAACAGTTTGTACAACAAAAGGGTTGTGAGAAAGTCTTACCAGCAACACCAATGGCAGCTGTTCAAAAGATCCATTAAAATTTATTACTAGTGATTTTAAATCACAACTTAGCAAAACTTCACTTAATGTTTGCCCACATTAGCTCTTTAGAATGGTAACTGAACTCCAGAGTGAATAACGTCTTCTGAGTGCAGTCGACAAGTGACAGAGCCCACAGCTAGAGGCTTACCAACCCAGCAGAAGGAATCTACTGTACTCTGTGGATCTCTGTCCAGGATCAAAATATCTAATATTTGTCATCTCTACTGGACATCTTTGAAGAGTACCATGTTGCTTCACATCCTCCTTTCATTGTAACAAAATGCATTAAACAAAAAACCTCTTCATGAGGTTTGAAAGCAGCTGAGAAAATTCTAGCTGTGTAAGCTTTTAATCAGAAGACTTGCCTGGGAGCTTTGAACTCTTAATATCAGAAACCCCAATAACTTATCATAAAAATACAAGCTCTTGATTTTGAAAAAATATACAAAATGCATTGCATAGGTCAATATTTCTTGATTGTCAAGGAAGACAAGGTATCAGTCTGAATCACAGGTTCACCTTCTGTTGTATTTTAGTATTGTTTGTTCTTAGAGTTTCCATTTTTTATAGTTTTTGGTGGCCTCTGACCCTTGGTATAAGCACAGTACCAAAAATGAAGAAAAAGGAGCAGAAAAATGCACCCATATGACATAATAATGTACATAAAGACTGGATACTGGTATTTGCAATCCTCCATGAGAAAGATATGGCCCATGTGGATGGTGACAATAACAAATTGGACCTAAAAAATGAAAGAGTGAAAACATTATTTAGATATAAAGAGTTTTCATTCATTCACTCATTCAATTTTTGCATTGCTGAGGATCAGACCTGGGGCTTTGTGCATGCTAGTCCAGTGGTCCACCACTAAGCCACACTCTCTGTTCTGACAGCTAACAATTCTTTGCCTATTTACACTCACATACTCCTCACCTATATCTAGGCTGCTGTTGGGCAGGGACGTTCACCTCTGAATTAACATCTTAGGAGTGAAAATAGATGATACAGCATCAAAAATCCAGACAGGAGTCTGAAACTTCTATTTAGTTCTGCCAAACTGCCCTGCTCCAGGGAGTCCTATTGAAGTGGTCCTGCAATGCACAACCATTTTACTACTTAGAGAACCAGAGGGTAGGCTGCCTTTGGCAGTGTCTGACTTGGGTCCTTAGTGCTGATGACATGTATGTAGGACTACTACCTACAGTCCAAATTTCCAGGATAGTTTAGATTCCAAGTATCCAGCCCTGCTGTTAGAACAAATATTTTAACCTTTTGAAAATAAACACATTTAAATTAGAGCCCTTATTATTTTATATGAGACAAAGGATCCCTGGTTTTTCATACCTGCTTCATGCCCTCTATCATAATAGATAAAAACAGTCATAGCTGTCAAGTAAAGAGAAGGCAGTGCTGGGGATGTGGCTCAGTGGTAGAGTTCTTGCCTTACACACACAAGGCCCTGCATTTGATCCTCAGTGCCACAAAAAGAAAGAAAAAGAAAGAAAGAAAGAAAGAAAGAAGGAAGGAAGGAAGGAAAGAAAGAAAGAATGAAAGAAAAGAAAAGAAAAGAAAAGAAAAGAAAAGAAAAGAAAAGAAAAAAGGAAAGGAAAGGAAAGGAAAGGAAAGGAAAGGAAAGGAAAGGAAAGGAAAGGAAAGGAAAGGAGGAAGGAAGGAAGGAAGGAAGGAAGGAAGGAAAAGGAAAGGAAGGAAGAAAGAAGGAAAGAAAGAAAGAAAGAAAGAAAGAAAGAAAGAAAGAAAGAAAGAAAGAAAGAAAGAAAGAAAAGGCCAGCAAGGAATGAGATTTTATTGGAAGCAGGTACTGGGGAGTAAACCAGGACCTTGTACATGCTAGGCAAGCACTCAACCATTGAGCCACAATCCCAGCTCATCCTTGTGTTATCTTACTAGACTTTGATCATATTCCTCTTGCACAGTAACTACAAGTTATTCCTTCAATTTTAGAGAAAAAGAGACAGAACCTTAGAAAGGGTAAGTAAGGTTGTCAATGTCCTATATATATGTATGTGTATTTGTGGCTGACATATTTAGAATAATGAACAATGTATACCCTTTTCTACATAAGAATTTGTACATTTCATTAAAACTTTTCACAATACTCGAGTATGTTAAGTGGAACAAAAGACTAACACAAAAGTGTGTGTGCAGTGTAAGTCAAATCATATAAAGGTTATATGCATACAGACATCAGAGAGAAAAGCTGACAGAACAAGATAAAACATTTCAGCATTATTACCCCCAAGATAATGGATGTCTCTGTCTCTGTCTCTGTCTCTGTCTCTGTCTCTGCAGCTTTAGGGATTGAACCCAGGGCTTCACACCTTCTACAAACTAGGCAACCACACTGCAACCTAGCTACACCCCTACCCCTTGTCTTTGCTCTCTTTCTTTTTGCCTAATTAGGTTTTCTAATTTATCTGCAATGGGCACAGATTGATTTTTTAAACTTTTTGAAGAAAATTAGTTAAAATAATTTATTTCACCATTTCCTTACAGTTAGTTGTTTATACTGTTGCCAATTTTAGATATTAAATAACTGCAAGGACAATTCTCTGATCTTGATTTGGGATCTTTAGAGGCTGAAACATCAATCTCTCACCTGGGAAAACACCTTATATGAGTGTGCCATATTTCATTAACAAGTTATAGGATTTTTAATAAAAAGTAATCCTCAACAGGCTATCTCTATCTAAATTCATACTTTTGTCCTTGGTACCACTGGTAGAATATGAGCCCAGTTTATTATAGACTGCAAATCTGGAAACATGACGATGAAAGAATTCTCCTTTTAATAAAACAATAAAATTAAAAGCAAATCAGCATCTCATACCTAGATATTCTTAAAAAAAAACTCATATACCATCTATACATTAGGTGTAAACTGAGTGGCTCTGCCCTTTCTCTTTCAAACTTTCTTTCAAATTCATGTAATACATATATGTTCATATACCATTCTATATCTTTAATCATTACAATCCTTTTTACTTATTGGAAGAAAGATGAATTTGTCAAGGTAATTTAGAAGTGGAATATGGAATTTCTAACTTCTTTTTCTTTTGGCTAGTGCTGGGCATCAAACTGAGAGCTCATGCATGCAAGGCAAACATCCTACCATAAAGCTACACCCCTAGCCCAGAATTTCTAACTTCTAATTTAGTACTATGTCTGCTGGTCATCACAGCTTTGAGATTATTTTCATCACATAGATGATAATTTATAAGTAAAACATGTTGAAGTAAATTATATATATGCACATTATATACATAAATTTTATATAGATATATACACATATGCAGAGAGAGAGAGAGAGACAGAGAATGAATCACGGACCCTATCACTAAGCTACTCTACCCCATATATTTTTTTTGTTTTGTTTTGTTTTTGTTTTTGTTTTTCTCCGGTACCGGGAACCGAACTCACGACCTTGCGCTTGCCAGGCAGGCGCTTTTGCCGCTGAGCTAAATCCCCAG